TTTACTCTTTCCCTTCCTCTCCACCCCTCCTAGCTATGGACTTTGAAGAACCAACAGTAACCCTTGAATGGGGCTAATGTTGCTTTCAAAGTTACATTTGTGTTGCCCCAGAGGCAAAGTGGACTCTTTGCTCCTGGTTTACCTCTGACACGTGGGTGTAACTGAGCTTGGGGTCCCGCCCTACAAATGTGGAAGCAGACACGGCTTAGTAACGTTGCTGCAGAGTGTGTTTTCCCTGGTTTCTTTAGCAGCCAGCCCTTCCCTGCTCTGGAGCCTCCCGGTGTGGGTAGCCGGCAGGTGGTGCTGATGGATGTGCAGTGATCCCGTCCCCCCCGCGCCCCCCCGGCCAGCCCTGCTCCCCAGCCCCGGCCTCCTGGCTCTCCCTTGCTCTGCACTTCAGTCCTGCTTGCTGCAAACCCCCAAAACCCCCCAGACCAACATGGTGTGCAGCTGCAGCCTGTGGGAAAGCTGAGGAGCTGATGGGGGTTGAGGGATGTGCTGCTGGGGTAGCCTTGAAGTAGAGGTACTGTGAGCAGTGGAGCAGTTTAGTAGCAATAATTAAGACTGAAATAAGCAGGTGAATATTGAAATGAGCTTTGCTTATCAGTCCCTAATAATGACTTTTTAAAACCTTCACAGAATGTCAGTTCACCTTTGAGAAGGCTATAGAGTACGTACCATTCGGTATGTACACTCTCTCCTCTATTTCTACTGTTCCTCTTGGGAGGATTTTTTTGATTGTACCATACTGTTTTTATGAACATGGAAACCCTCTTGCTAAGAAAACCTCACTTGACTTCTCAGGGAAAAAAAAAAAAAATACTCAGTTGAAATGACCTGCATGAGAGTTTGTATTTCCTTTAGGCTATAGAATATTAACAGTTTTAACTTACTAATAATACCTAAAGAAAATTATTCCAGAATTTGTACCTGTTCTTGTTTGGTTTTTGGGTTTTTTGTTTTGTTTTGTTTTGTTTAAATCTTGTCCATGGTTTTTTTATGTGTTAAAAACTTTTTGTCTTTTTTATGTCTCATTTTTAGAAGCTGCTAACTTGTGCCAAACCTCCACTGCTGCTACTACGCCTGTGACTCTTACTACTCCATTCAATATAACGTCCTCTGTGGCTTCTGGGACTATCACAAACCCAGTCACAGTGGCAGCTGCAATGAGCATGAGAAGTCCAGTAAATGTATCAAGTGCAGTTAATATATCCAGTCCGATGAACTTAGGGCATCCTGTAACTATAACCAGTCCTCTGTCCATGACCTCTCCATTAACGCTCACCACCCCGGTGAACCTGCCCACCCCGGTCACCGCTCCAGTGAACATAGCACACCCCGTCACCATCACATCCCCCATGAACCTGCCCACCCCCATGACGCTGGCTGGTCCCCTCAACATAGCCATGAGACCAGTGGAGAGCATGCCTTTCCTGCCCCAGGCCTTGCCCACCTCTCCTCCTTGGTAAACAAGTTCTAAACAGTATTAAAAAAGGATTAAAATGGAATCCTTACCAGCAGTTCTTTTTTGGGTTTTGTTTGGTTGGGTTTTTTTTTGTTTTGTTTTTTTTTGTTTTGTTTTGTTCTGTTGGGTTTTTTGTTTTGTTTTAGTTAATAAATTCAGACTAAGACACTGGGGCAACACCACCAGAGACCATAGTAGCATCTTCCCCTTGATTTGGCTCACATGGTTCAGGCTTGAGTTTCACTGGAGCACTTCATTTAAAGTAAGTTTTACCTTGTAGCTGACTGATGCTGAATTAGAGCAGATACTTATTTGCCAGAGTTTAAAAAAAAAAAGGAAAAAAACAACAAAAAAAAGGTAATTAAAAAACCCAGTTTTATGTTTTATCCCCTCAAATTATAACTTAGAAAATTATTTTAATCTAAACACTAGCAAAGACCCCTCTGTATCTGTAACAGGGTGGATGGCTCATTTTAACCTGCCAGGCAAGTCCACTGTTTCTGAGCTAGTGTAGAACCTTTGTCTGTGTTGATGTTTTTGGTTTTTTTTTTTTTAATGAGTAAATGCATTACAATGTTGTCATTAAAAAAAAAAAAAATGCATTTTTGGAGAAAATATGCATTTTACCTTTGGGAATATGGTAATTTCAGGCAGCATTCCCTATGGGAAAGGTGATACCAGCTCTGATATGCAAAGCATATGATAACTTATCATTCTAACTTCAACATATAATAGGGATTGTGACCTGATATTTGGAGATGTAAATATTACCCAACATATTACCCTAAGGGAATAGAGCATTGTAGTCAACATTTTTTTAAAAAAAACTGTTATTGTTTGGTGAGAAACAGCCATGGCTGACAGAAGAGGAGTCGAAATGTGTGTAAACATGGTCTCTGAACAGTCAGACCCCCATGGGACTCTTATCTAGGAGCAAAAGGAGTGCTTGGAAACTTAAGGAAAATTGCTTTAAGCTGGAAGATTCTGGAGGCCCTGGGTGTGATTTTTATGCCCTCTGCCTCCCAATCAGAGCCTGCTGGTATTTCAGCAGGGGACAGACGTGTTAGTTGTTCACTAGAAGTTTTGTCTTATATTAAATTGTATACAGTTTTTATTCTAACCACTAACTAGGTAGGATGCCCCTCCAGGACAAGCAGAGAGCGTCTTTTAATTTCTCCCCTATTTCTTAATCAAGTGTTGTGCAAATCTGTTCAACTTTGTAAATATTTGCAAACATCATCATTTTTACGTTATTCTTCTATTGTGTTAACACATTTCTATCAATTTGTGGGAGTTCTGGGGTGCTGAGCTGTCCAGCCCAGAACTGCTCATAAATGGTCACACATGTTTAAGCTACATGTGCTTTTTTTTTCTTAACCTGTTTATCTGTACATAAGTAGAAAGCAAAGTCTAGGGAAACAGATATACTTTTTAGACTATCATGTCACATATTCACATTTTTAAAACTTTGTTTAAAAAAAAAAACAAACCACCCTAAACCCAACCTCTACATTAAATAAAAAAAAAAAAGAGGAAAAAAAAAAAAAAGAAATTACAGTTGAGATGTTTTTATCTTAATGAAGTTGAGAGCTCTGGAGATTAGCGTGTGCATTTTCACAGAGTGCTAGCAGGACTGACCAGTCACACTGGACTGCTTCCGTTCCTCCCCGGCCGTGTCCGTGCGAGCAGTGATTGCCAGGCTGCTGGCTCAGGTGACAGGTATCTGTATCCTTACGTGAAACTGTTCTAGGGGCTTGGACTACATAGTAAAACAAAAACAAACAAAAAAAAAATAATAGAGCTTAGTGTAAAATAATTTTATAAATGATCTTTTGTACTTTAGGACATCAAATTGTACAACTTTTGTATATATAAAAGCTTAGGAACTTTCTGTTTAGCAGAAAGGAAACACATTCCTACACTTTTAATGTATATGTTTGTTATAATGTCCATGTAAACATATGCCCTATGTTTGTGCCTTTTAATTAGTTTGTCTCAATAAACAAAAATGTAGAGAAGAATATGTAGCTATGACTTTGTTACCACTGTTCTTACTCCAGGTGTGTAGAGGTCTTTGTTTTGGCCCTGTGTAGAGCCCGGCGAGCACAGCCAGCCCGCCAGCGCATGTCCCCAACCCCGCTGCCCCGGCCCCGCTGCCACCTCCACACCGTCCTGCATGTTGGGACCTGTAGCTCCCCAGCCATCTCTGTCATCCCTGGCCACGACACCACCTTGCACCAGTTTCCCCAAGTAGGTACAGCCTTCTGGGTCTGGGTAACCACAGTGATGACCCTTAGATGAAATTTGGATATCCCTGAGCTTAAGGAAAAAAAAAAAGAGAACAAAAGCATTAAAAGCCAATATGAAAATGTGTACTAGAAGTGGTTATCTATGAATTACTTACAATAAACAGGTGTGAGACTTAATTGTATGTTGTCAATTACTGCAGTATTGACAGTGGGTCCCTTGTACAGCCAGCTGTTATTTTTATCCCAGCAGTGTAGCAGTAGAATAAACACATTAAACACCGGCAAGGAAATTTTTCACCGTGACAGAGGCTTCCCAAACCACTAACCACGGTGCTCTTAGCGTGGTGTAGGAAAAGGGCTGTTTCCTTTTTATTTTATGTTGGTTCTGCTCGACTGTACCTGGTTTATGTCCACAAAGCTGCATTAGCTAATTGTCGACCTGTTTCATTTGTACTTGGGTAAACATTTGCTTTGTACCGTGTATTAATGGGTCCGAGGTGTGCTCCTCCGCTGTCTCAGTGCGGACATTGACTTCGCTCTGTAATGCCATCCTTGCAAATACATTAAGCTGTTTTTCTGACAAACAAAAGCTACCTGGTCCAGTAGTTTATATGATGTGCATGCTCCCTGCTGATCCGTGTCCGTGCCCATGGCGGTGCGGCCGGGGATCCGCTGGCACCTCGCGCCGCCACAGCGCCGCCGAGTTAAGGCTCTAAGAAAATGGTGGATGCGAAGAACAGATGCTCCTGTTACACCGAGTTAGTTTCTATGCAGCTGATGCGCTTAGCCTAGTTTATTTCATGGAAACTTTTAAGCTGGATGGAATCCAACATCCAGGGAAGCCTATTGCTGCCGCTGGTTCGAGTGGGGTTTATATCGAGCCCATTCAGGTCTCCGATTGCAAGGAGTTCAATAGGGGGTTTATTTTTTTCCTTCTGAAGTTTCCGTAAGCATTCAGCGTGAGGTGAATGGCTTAGTGCCGGCCGGGAGTCTGAGAGTTGCGTTTTGCCTTGGAAGGATGTGTGCCGTGGAAAGTCAGAGCAGTCAGATGGAGGGCACGGAAAGGCGTCCTCCGGGCAAGGAGAGCCGCGGGGCAGCGGCCACAGGGACGTAAGTATTGCAGCACAGCCAGCCACGCTGCCAGAAATGCATATAAATGCTATAAAAGGGCTGCTTTTCTCTTTCTTTGGAACACCCCAACACTTCCAGAGAGTGTTTGGGGTCAAGAGAAATTTGGGATTCAACCCTTTTTTTTGAAGAGTTACACCTGAGTTGTAAATTGGGAAGGTTCGGTTCAGTCACGATGGATCAGAGAGAAACACATTTTAGTCTCAGCGTATGAGTTTAATTCTATTAGCCCTTGATACAAATAAAACTTTTTTTTCTCTCTTAAAACAATTTTTTCCTTAGAGAGGCAGAAGAAAGAAGTATTTTATGTGTTTGCATTTGTCCACAAGAGGTTTAAAGAAAACCACCCAGACCCCAGTAAGCTGTTGAGCTGCAGCAATCCCAGGTTACATAAAGGGGCCGGGGCTGCTGAGGATTAGCCAGGGCATTCCGGGTGCTGATAAGCCTCCAAGTTCTGCTCACTCTTCCCTCACTTTTATTTTAGAAACAGCCACTCTGAGCTGCATCCCGAAAACTGCCTGGGGTTCACTTTCAAGGCTGTCAGGGTCAGATTCCCACCAAAGAGAGAAAATTGGAGTTTAAAGGACACTCAAGTTTTTAAAGCATCGAGCGCTGTGGTAGTTTTTATCTCAGGGTCCCTGCACAGGAGCCGAGTTGTTGAGAAATGAACGACAGTTTCTCACTGCTGGGCCCTTCCAGAAACTCCTGCCCTGCTTCATTGGTAGCTTAGTTTATCCATCTCAAAAATAGATTAAACAGTATTTTCAAAAGGCAGCTATTAAAAGCACTTCAAGTTTTTAAATGCCATTGGGGTTTCAGTGCATAAATGAACCTTTTAACCAGTGCTTTCTAGGAGAAAAAGTGTAAAAATAAATCTCTTTGTCTCCTAACTGTCAGAGAATAAATCAAATTAAACCTGATCCCCTTCTACCTATTTGTATAATTCAGCATGTTTATACTTCTTGCTTATCTTTGGATTGTTCGCTCCCAGCTCCCAGAGCAGCAGCTGAGGGATGACAGAGGAACTACGTGCTAATTTTTATGTCAAAAATAGCTTTCACCTTTAAAGGCACACAGCTCAGTGGCTGTTTTCTAATTACAAAAGGAATGCCAAAGCTTTTCCCTCGAATCCATTTTACAGCTGTGTTCAGATTGGACTGTCAGCCCCTGGTTAAAATTGAGTGCTGAGGTCCTGACCTAGAAACAAACCTTTTTTGGTATTGCTTTGGAAAGAGTATTTCAGTGCTGGAGGAGCTGAGCCAGGCTGTCCAGCCAGCTCCCTCCACACGCCTGGCGACAGCGGCAGCCTCGCGTCCTTTCATCACACTCTGCATCGCCCCAAAACCCAAATCAGGACCACTGGACAAGCCAGGCTTATGATTCTTAAAAATAATAACTTTTTTTGGTTTTGTTCTTCAGGTTTCTGGGCTAATCTGGTGGAATGTGTCCTGCTCTTTGTGGGGGATTAGAATGAGATGAGCTTTGAGTTTCCCTTCCAGCCCAAACTGTTCCATGTTTCTGTGATTTTTAGAAGTCCCAGCTTTTCCTTTAGGGAAGCATCAGTGCTTTCTGAAAACCAGACATTTGGCATCTGCAGTCACAGGTTGTGTCAGAGCACAGACCTGTGCTTTCCTTGCAGAGCATTTACAATCACTCCCTCCCAAGCCGACCCATTTAGTCAAAAATAGGGCATTTTCAGGATGTGTGAAACCTTTTGTTTTCCAGAGAAGTCAGAAATATTCCATTCACCTTTTCACCCAGTTGTTCTCACCAGCTGTCAAGATGAAACCATTTCTGTTCTGTGTTTTCTGTGCAAGGTTTGTTTCTCAGGGAATTACCAATTTTGTTGGAATTGGCTGAATTAAATTCATTATTTTAACTCTTCATAGTTGTGTATTTCTATGCCCATTTCTTTTTACTTCCTAGCATCATTAGCAGCTA